TACTAGCACTAAGTTGCTAACTGGTTAGCAAGATGCTTCCGACAAACTGGCCACAACCAAACATGCTTGCGAACCTTCTCCCACAACAATCCTGCCCCCTTGACAATCGACCAATCACATTCACTTTATTTACTAGTGTAAAGTCGTGCACCACTCGGGAGAATTCGGAAATGCAACGGTTGGAACAGCCGCTTCCCTACGACTTAAAATTTATTTACCATACAGAATTTTACAGCATTGGAAAACTAATGGATATTTATTTGTCTTCCTGCACAGCATATTAAAATAAACAAAATCCATCTTTTTCTATTTTTGGAAAAAGCATGGAAGGCATTAAAGAGCTGCATGCGTTTCTGGAGCCGCGGGCTGCCGACCTCTGCTGTGCATCGTGTTTAATGGGGGTACAGAAAAGCATGAAACAAAAAAACAGGCCTACAGGTTCAAATATATTCGGATAGCTGCATAAGGTAAAATTTCGATTAATTAAAATTATGTCTTCCAACTGAAAATACTTACTTTAGGCTTTAAAATGTTCTTTTGGATGATCTTTAAAATCCAAATCCGTAGCTATATAAATATCGAAAAGATCAGATAAAGCTATTATTTGGTACAATAGGACAATATACATTTATAATTTAGGAATTTAACATATTTTTAACTTAATGTAAGTTAAAATTACAGTTTTTTATAAAAATCAGAATGAGAATTAGAAAAAAAAAAAACTGATAAACTCAGCCGTAAAAGTTAGATTATTCGTTTTTATTTATTTAAAAAAAACATTTAAGCAGATAAAACTGGGATCCTGTCTCAATACCACTGGAGCCATCAGTGGTATAGTCTCTATACTCCAGTAAACGATTAGTCAATTACTAAATTAGTTGATGATAATTATTTTAATAATAGATTAATTACGAATAACCCAGTTAATTGATTCAGCTTTACACTCAATGATGCTGAAAGCAGCCAGACTGGAGTTAAATTATGGAGCAACAGCTACATGGCCAGACCTGCCTGTCTTAGGATTCAAATTTTGGATTTTCTAACCAGGCAGTTTTGGTTGTTTTTGAGGGCATCTGTTTTTATCTGATGGATTTAAAGGAAAAGCTTGATTGTTTCAAAACAAAAACGCTGCGTCTCTGTTCCAGTAAAGCGAAACTTCAGCAGCGGCACAATCCCCGGGACGCCTGGCCTGAACGGAGAGGACGGAGTAGAACAGACGGCAATCAAAGTGTCCCTCAAATGTCCCATCACGTTCAGACGAATCCAGCTGCCGGCCAGAGGCCACGATTGCAGGCACATACAGGTGAGGTCACACCTGTAGTCGTGTTGGACGTCCAGATTTGTGCTGAATCTTTTCTAACCTGGACCGGTCTCTTTTTTTTTTTTTAAGTGTTTTGATCTGGAGTCCTATTTGCAACTGAACTGTGAAAGAGGGACGTGGAGGTGCCCTGTGTGCAAGTATGTGCAGCGACACAAATGCATGTTTTCTATTAAATCAGCCTGAAACAAACTGTCTTCTCTGGTGTTTGCAGTAAAACAGCTTTGCTAGAAGGCCTGGAGGTGGACCAGTACATGCTGGGGATTCTGGTCTACATACAGAAGTAAGTTCAGATGCATTTACTGCTTCAATATTGGTCAGCACACTGGAAAAATGATCTAGGAATAAGTACAAATTTCCTAAATTAAGTGTATTTACCATTAATTTGAACAGGTAAACAAGATGATTTTCCAATGTATTAATATTTTTACTCTTAAAAACATGATAATTAGATAATATGCAGTTGAAATAAGGCAATGCAGTTGTTTTAAATGTAAACTGTCTTCTATCGGCGATTTGTCTCACTTACCTCCTCAATTCAAGAAGAAATGCACTTATTTTCAGGTGCGGCTGGTGGAGTTTTCTCCAGAGCAGGCTATAAATTCAAAATAGACATATCCAAAAAAACAATCAAATGTATACTAAGTTATCGCAGCAGTAAATTTATAGGAATGCCAAAAAAAATAAAAATAATTATAAAAACACTTTATAAAAACAAAAAATATTTTCCTATACAGGTTTACTTTTTGAACATAAATCTTGCCCTTCTGAGGCTTTGTCAAGGTAAATCTATGTTTTAAATGGTCCAATATTGTGTCACAAACCTAAACAAAAAAATTGTACCGGTTTGACAATGGAGAAGCTATTAGTCAACTTTATATTTTTTTAATATACAAAAACTGTTTCTTCTCTAAGAATGTGTTTAATTAGGAGCGACTATGCAAATTAAAAAACATCTAGAAAAAGTACACTATATTATATTATTTTCCATGTGAATCTCAGATTGTTCATTCTTCTTTGCCTTTTCTAAAAAGTGCTTTAAATCAGTCCTATCTGTCTTTATCCATGCTGGGTCAGATCCTGACCTTTGAAAAAGGAGGCAGGGAAAGCAGAATAAAGCTTTAGCCTCGCTACATGCAGTTAGCCAAGACTTGTAGCTAAACCAGGTCCTGGAAAAGGCGCCATTTATCTCTCTCTCTCTCTCTCTAATGTGTCTGCACTGTTGCAGGAGGTGGTGAGCAAATACACTTCCCGTTACCTCAGGTTGCAGCTTAGCTGCGCCCCCATCTAACCTATACCTTTGAATTGCAGAGGAGCTGCTGCACGTGGAGAACTTTTAACGAGAGTCAAATGGCAAAGATTTTTGTGCCCTAGGGCGGAAATACGTCAACAATCCGACGAAAAATGGAATGAGGCTTTGCTGGTCATTAAAGATTAAATATGTATCTTGCACTGCTAAGAAATACATAATGATATATTTTGACATATTTTAAATGATAATGTAAAATTAAAATATTAGAAAAATAAAATTCTTTTAAGTCTTAATCAGGGTCATTGGGTGGGTGGGTGGGGCGGCGCCCAATGCATAATAAAACGGTGCATGTTACAGAGCTCTAACCCGACACAAAAGGCTGATGCTGATCAGGGTTGGTGGGAAGATAGATGGAGCTGGAGGCAGAGAAAATCTGATCTTAGTAAAGAAGTTGTTCATCATCTTACTTGGCTGTTCTGCTTCTCCTCCCTCAGTTCTGATTACGAGGAGATCACCATCGACCCGGTGTGTGGCTGGAGGCCGGTGCCGATCAAACCCGACCTACACATAAAGGAGGAGCCCGACGGTCCGGTCCTAAAACGCTGCCGCACAGTCAGTCCCAGCCACATGGTCCTGCCTAATGTGATGGAAATGATCGCAGCTCTGGGGCCCTCGTCGTCCCCGTACCAGAGCCTGAACGCAGGGGGCCGGAACACGCCCGACTACAGCCGGCCAGGTAGCGCACTCGCACCTTTTATTAACTATATAGACGGTCAGGTTGGTTTTGAGTAGCTCACCTCATCAGAACAAAGATGGCTTCTTTTATATTGGCTCCAAATATCAGAAATCAATTAACCAATGAGATTAACAACTCTAAGCACTGGATTATTCTTGAGGGATTAACAAATTTGGAGGCTCTGAGGCCAGAAGTGGAGGTAAGCTTTATATATATATATATATATATATATATATATATATATATATATATATAT